TCAAGGAGTATCTGCTTAATGAGTGGAAGGGAGAGAGCCTCAGCCGCTGGTTCCCGGTGTGTGTTTGTGATTCTAAGTATGGGGCTCAGGGCCTCAGGCACTTTACCTTGAGCTTCCTGGCAGCCATTAACTCCCCTCAGAGAGCACTGAACACACCGGTGTGGTGGCTCCCGGGCAGAACTCCCCAGCTGAGGGAAGTTTGCCTTCTGCACCCTAAAATGTTGATCTCCCAGTAACACGTGTCCTTCCTTCTCCACCGCCCAGCGACAGAGCTAGCGCGGTCCAGTGTGGCGTGGCCTGTGAACTCAACTCACTCTTAAAAATTCCATCTCTGCCATGCTACCGCTTCAGGTACCAAGTCTTTCCCAGGTGGCATCATCGGTAAGAAGATGCCTACTAATTCATACTATGGACTTCCTGTTTATCTCACCCCAAAAGCATGTCTCGGTGGTGGATTCTCTCCGCCACGGAGGAGTTCCTGCCCTGGTTCCTTCAGTTTTATCTTTTTGGCTTTAAAAGACAGGGGTTTTTCTATGTAGTCCATGCTGGCCTCCAACCGGCCTTGGTCTCCCACGTTTGATTACAGGTGTGCGCTACTATGTCTGGCATAAAACCTTCTGTTGCATCTTTCTAACTGGTACTACCTGCTTGTCTGTAGAGGTGCAGTTGGTGATCATGAGCCCATTGTATGAGGCTGCACATTTCTCTGCCTTATTCCTACCTAGCACAGCTTCTGGGAGTAGTGTGCGCTTGGGTACCGACTTTGGAGGGACCTCTCCAGGCATTGAATATACTTTCTGTGCCCCTGTTCTATCGGTACTTTTGCCTTCCTTTCCCACGCTAAGAAGAAGTGAGTACTTCCCGGGGGTCCCAGAAGGCAGCGTTCCTGTGAGAGCCTGTCCCACCTCAGCCACGGTCCTGCATCTAGCCTTTCCCACCAAGGAGAAAATAGCAAGAAAAACAGATGAAGACCGATACCCTGTGCTGTAGGTCGGCCTTGAAGCCTGGTCCTGGAGGAGCCCCAGGAAAGCTTTAACCCCAGGGCTCTGGGCAGTCAGGAGGGGTGAGGGGTGGAGGGAGGAGGAGGCCCCTTTCCAGGTCCCAGTGGCCTCCGGCCTCTCTCCTATCCAGGACACTGTCTGTGCCCAACCCTTGTCCTGACAAGGGCCTACCTGGGCTAGAGCCCCGGTGTCCAGGCTGGATGGGCATCAGTATAGCAGCAGTCACTGTTACCTTGTCTCCCTCCATGTCTGGGTGGTAATGTCCACGAGCAGAGAACAGAGGTTCCTGTTTTATGTATTTATTTTGTGCCTGTCGTGGGGCTTGAGCTCAGGACCTGAGCACTGTCCCTTAGTTTTTAATCTTCAAGGCCAGAGTTCTACCACTTGAATCGCAGCTTCACTTCTGGCTTTTTGCTAGTTTATTGGAGATGGGAGTCTCACAGAGCTGCCTGCCCTGGCTGGTTGGCTTTGAATCATGATCCTTAGATCTCAGCCTCGTAGCTAGGATTACAGGTGGGAGCCATGGATACCTGGCCTGAACTTCCCATTTAAAAGCTTGTAGGCAAGGGGGATATTCCAAAGGGCCCCTGATCTCCTAGGGCTTAGAGTCAGGAGATGTGAGCAAGTGGATTTCCTAAGGTGTGCCAAGGGTGAGCTGCTATGCTTCCTTGTGCAGTGAGAGGTGGGGATAGGGTTCACCTGAGACATGACTGGGAAAGGGCTTTGCAAACCCTCAGTGGGATCCAAACAAAAGCTGTGCTTGACAGTGGTAGGGATGGAGCACCTGGCCCCGCCCAGCCCTTCCTGCTGCAGCCTCAGCCCCCTTTGCTTCCAGGACGTGTTCCCATGATCCTCCAGGGGAGAGCTGATCCGCAGAATGATCCCCCAGTGCTTCTCCTTTGACGCAGGCGCAGAGGAGGACAGGAGGAGAATGCTCTGAGGTAGCGGCGAGGCGTTTGCACAGTGCGCAGGCTGTGTGAGCTGAGTCCCTAGGGCTATTGGGTAATTCCAAGTGATGTTTGTATAGGAGCCAGAGCGGTGAGGGCTCAGGCTACGTATGGAAGATTGATAGTTGGCGGTGTCTACAGAGCATTTACCCCTTCATGCCTCATGCCATCCTCACCCTCTGAGCTGGAGCTTTGACGGAGGAGGAACTGAGTTAGCACACTGCGGATCTGGGTCCCCCCTTTGAGTTGTCTGGCTTTCAGTGGATGCACCAGCCTGGATATTCTTCTGAGGACAGGAGAGGAGCAGGAGACAGGGAAGAGGCCATGTTCTGAATGTGTCCAGACCTCAGTTTCTCCACAGAAATGATGAAGAGATTGTATCTACAATCCCAAAGGCCTATTCCAGGGCTTGTCGGCTAGGCTGGTGCTCTGCTGCTGAGCCATGCCCCCAGCCTTTAGTTCTTGTCTTCTAGATGGGGCAGGGGATGGGTACCTGGCTTCTACCATCCAGATTGATGGACAGGAAAGGGGTCTAGAGGAGCCGCAGCCCAGGGTGGGAGGGACCTTCGGTGTCATTATCGAGGAGAAAGCTGCAGATTCTCAGGCCCAGCACCCCCCCCCCCCCCCATACACTGCACACCATGGGCCCTGGAGCTGTTTACTGCTCAGGAGAGCACTCCATCTCTCTCCAAAGCTACACTGGAAAATAACAACTGGGCAAGGTCCAGCTGCTCTGCCAGCTCACAGCCCAGCGCTGGACAGGACCCAGCCCTGGACACCCACGCCAAGGCCAGTGTGTGGGCTGAGGGCATTAAGGCTGGCTGCTGTCTGGGTGGGTTTAATGGGAAGTGGGAAGTCTCTGAGATACTAAAACCCTCAGCTCTCAGAGCGGGGGAGGACCCAGGGCAGCCTTGTGTTCTGTGTCAGCCATATGTGTTATACCTTCTGTGGATGCTGTGATATATGAGGGGAAAAAGGTTGGCAGAACCAGGCACCGTGGCTCAAGTCTATAATCCAAGCTACTTGGGAGGTGGAGTAGGGGCTCACAGTTGGAGGTCAGCCACAGCACATGTTGTGAGACTCCATCTCGACCAGTGGGTGGGCACGGGGATGCATGCCTGTTGTCTCTGCTGCAGGGGAAGCAGGATGGCTGGGTGCTGTAGTATGTGCCTGCCAGCCTCCATGACAGGGGGAAGCGTAAACAGGAGGATTACAGGCCAGGGTTGCCTGGGCATAAAGCAAGCTTCTACCTCAAAAGCATAACCTGTTCAAAGAGGGGCTGAAGGTGTGGCGCAAGTGGTAGTAGTTGAGGACCCAGTACTGGAAAAAAGAAAAAGTTCAGGAGCTTTGCCCTTGGTATTAGACTGCTTGTTCCTTTCGAGAGTCCTAGCAGGACGCATGGCTGTCTCATTTCCTTGCTTTTCTGTTGCTGATCTCTTCACTGAACATGTGAGCTACACAGGGGCTACAGAGAGATCTTTTATTCATTCCCAGTCCAGATAGCAATGCCTGGCACAGAACACACTGCATATGCCTGGAACCTGTGGCTTATGCTTATAATTCTAACTACTCAGAAGGTTGAGATCTGAGGCTTGAGGCTCAAAGCCACCCCAGACAGAAAAATTCCCTGAGACCCTCATCTCCACTTAACCAGCAAATAGCTGAAAGCGGAGCTGTGGCTCAGGTGGTAGCATACCAGCCTTGAGCTAAAAAGCTAAGGGACAGGGACAGTCCCAGAGTTCACACACACACACACACACACACACACACACACACACACACACACAGAAAACACTGAATAAATGTTTGCTGATAATGCACTCGTGCACCTGTGCACACATGCATGGAATGAGTGCACATATCTAGCACTAAGTAGCTGCTTATGAACAGCAGCTTACTCTCTGGAAGTCATTCCTATAGGTAGCTCGGGGTTGCTGAGGCCAGTCCCTTAGAAGAGGGGCACTGGAGGGACTGGAGGGGGGATGGGAGGACAGGAAAGGGGTGGGAGACAGATGCTGACAGGAAGTAGGGGGCAGGCAGGCCCGGGAGAAGGGGCCGTCAGGTGAAAGGTGTTTGTTAATCTCCTGGCTATTGTAGAAGCCAGGACAGTGCTGCTAGCTCGAGTGGGGCCTTGGGCAAATAGATCTGCAGACCATGTTCAGCCATTTCCTCATCTGCCAGCCCGGCAGCCCTCCTCTTGCCAGTGCCTGCCTGCCCCACCTAAGGCTTTCTTTTCTTTTCATTCTTTTTTTGATAATACCTAGGATTGAACTCAGGGTCTTACCTTGCTAGATAAGCACTCTACCACTCCCATGCTTCCAAAACCCTTTGGCGTTTTAGTTTTGTTTATCAGATAGGGTTTTATACTTTCGTCAGCCCTCAGAATGAAATCCTCCTTCCTCTGCCTCCCAAGTAATTGGGACTACAGGCTCCGATACCTGGATCCTGCTCATTTTCTTTCTTCTTTTGACAGACTGTGTGATTTGAACTCAGTACCTTGCAGTTGCTGGGCAAGGGCTCTACCACTGGAGTCACAACCTCAGCCCTGGTTATTTTCTTAAAAGTCCTAAAGGAGGCCTTTATTATTTCTCCTCCTCCTTCTCCTCCTTCTCCTCCTTCTCCTCCTCCTCCTCCTCCTCTCCTCCTCCTCCTCCTTCTCCTCCTCCTCCTCCCCTCCCCCTCCTCCCCTTCCTCTCCTTCTTCCTCCTGCTTCTCCTCCTCCCCCTCCTCCTCCTCCTCCTCCTCCTCCTCCTCCTCCTCCTCCTCCTCCTCCCCTCCTCTTCCTCCTCCTCTTCCTCCTCCTCCTTCTTCTTCCAGATTCCCTTCTTCTGGAGGAGAGATGCACCAGGGCATTACAAGTTCTGCCCTAAGTAACCTTAGGTCTGGAGACTGTCCTCCCACACATACTCCATGGGCCCTGGATGGGGGGGAAGGGGGCGGCGGGAGGGGGGGAGGCAGCCCTTCTTTTGGAGCCCTCCCCCTGGGGGGTGGGCGGGCTTCAAGGCAATGAAAGGCAGCACCCCCCCACACCTTCCTGTTCTTTCCCCTGCAGGTACAAGACCGTGGTGACCCCGCGAAGGGCAGCCGTGGCCATCGCTGTCTGCTGGATTCTCTCCCTCCTGGTGGGCCTGACCCCTATGTTCGGCTGGAACAACCTGAGTGAGGTGGAGCAGGCCTGGGTGGCCAACGGCAGCGCGGGGGAGCCGGTGATCAAGTGTGAGTTTGAGAAGGTCATCAGCATGGAGTACATGGTCTACTTCAACTTCTTCGTGTGGGTGCTGCCGCCGCTGCTCCTCATGGTTCTCATCTACCTGGAGGTCTTCTACCTGATCCGCAAGCAGCTCAACAAGAAGGTGTCCGCCTCCTCAGGCGACCCTCAGAAGTACTATGGCAAGGAACTGAAGATCGCCAAGTCGCTGGCCCTCATCCTCTTCCTCTTTGCCCTCAGCTGGCTGCCGCTGCACATCTTGAACTGCATTACCCTCTTCTGCCCCACCTGTCAGAAGCCCAGTATCCTCATCTACATCGCCATCTTCCTCACGCACGGCAACTCGGCCATGAACCCCATCGTCTATGCCTTCCGCATCCACAAGTTCCGGGTCACCTTCCTGAAGATCTGGAACGACCATTTCCGCTGCCAGCCCGAACCTCCCATCGACGACGATGACCTCCCTCAAGAGAAAGCTGATGACTAGACTGCCCTCTGCGCCCGGCGGCTCAGCCCAGCCCTGTCCCCACTGGCCCACGGGTCCTCCCGAGCCTTTCCCCAGCTGGCTGGTGGGCAGTGGGCGCTGGGAAGGATGCTGAGAGGAGCTCACGGAGCCGGCTCCCCTCCACAGGGAGCGATCTGCCCTGCACCTCGGGGGTGCGCGGGAGGTTTGGGAGGGCAGGCCGTGATGAGGCGAGAGCAAAACGTGCGGATCCCCTGCCTCTGCCTGGCCATCTCAAGAGCAGCCCAGCACCTCAGGGTGAGCAGGTCCTTGAGGCCTGTCTGTGGAGGAGCCAATGAGTGAGTTTCCACAGGGGAGTCACTCATGGTCGGGGTTGGTAACCCAGGGATCAAACATGAGGATTGCTTCTGAGATGAAGGAATGGAGGAGAGTAGGGATGTCCTGGTCTTGCTTTCTCTCCTGGAGCAGCGAAGGGTCAGGAAGCAAGTAGCTTCAGTTCCCACCAGCAAGGATTCTGCACCTATCTCTGGCCATGCCGGTGCACACCTTGCTCTGAACAGCCTGGGCATGATGCTTGGGAGAGGCAGCAAGAGGAGTCCAGAGATCATATCTCACATCTGCCCTTGAACTCCCAGCAAGGCTTCTGAGCCCCGGGCAATGAGTGAGGTATGAGAAGTGCTGATCTCAGTCACTAGGGGGCAGCACTGAGTCCTTCTTCTTGGCCTTTCAAATTGTCACCTGGGCCACCTAGCCCCACTAGCCCTTGGTGACAGGCCTGGATGCTCCTAGCTGACATGGTCTCTGCTGCTGCTGGGTCCAATGGAGAGAGCCCAAGTCATCCCAACCCTTGGGAGTCCTCTGAGGCCTGGGGAGGAGCTGACCGGCTACTCCTGGGCTGAGTGTGGCAGGTGAGACCAGGCCAGTGGAGATCAACTCCAGACAATGTGGGAAGAGGCTTGCCAGCCGAAAGTGAAATATTCTAAATGTCCCTGGTATTTAGCTCAGTTTTCAAGGGCTCTGGAAGCTCTGTTATAGACTATGCTTAGGCCTGTAGGGGTCTGGGCTAGGAGCACCCCATACCCTGACAAGCCTGGAGCCCCCATGTGGAAGGCAGGCAGGAGAGGGAGGGACTGTTAGACTGACAGGTCCTGAGTGTGAATAACAACTCCAGGCCCGGATTCCAGCCTGTACCCTCTGTCGGAGTGTGGTGTCCCTGGCTCTCAAGGGAGTCCCATGTGAGTAATAAAAGACTGTGAACCCGCATAGCAAGCAGACCCCTGGCGTCTACCCCCATCGCTGGCAGAGGGTAACAGACGACCTCAGCTGAGGGGGTGGGGGAGAAGACGGGGAGGTTGGGGGAATGTGGTCAGAGCAAGTAGGCTTCCCAGAGAGGGCACATCTATTGTCTGTCGCTACCTGGGGTAGTAAACTCTGAATCCGGGAGCAAGATTCAGGCTTGAGACCCTCTCAGCAGCCCCTTCCCGTGGTGGCACATTCAAACGCCCCCTTCGCAACGACACTGTCACAGAGCCCCGTTCTGTAACACCACACACCTTTATTTGAGTGCTTCTCACCCAGCACGCAACTCTGCAGGGTGCTCCAATCCCTGTGCTTTGGGGACCATCTTGTACCCACAAGGCCTGGCCTGCGGCCTGTCAAGCACACTCCTGGGATTCTGGACCCCAGCCTCTGGCAGAGGGAGGCTAGCAGGTACCAGGAGCCTGCTAGCATCAGCCGTTGCTATGGAGATCTTGGCATCTGTAGGGTTTGACTTTAAGCCAGGAGAATCGATCCTCAGGCCTGCAGGACCTGGTGAGAACATGCGTGAACTCAGACACGTGCCACAAGAAATGTCTAGGAGTCCCTTTTCCCTTCCTAGGCTACCCTCCGTCAGGCCCAGTGCCCAGGGCTGAGCTGTGTCCTTCACAGTTCTAGAAACTTCCTGGCTTATCTGGAGCCACAGAACCACCAAGCCAAGGGAGGAGGGCTGATGTCCCCACTTTCCTGCTGAGGAAGCAGGCTCATGCTGATGGTCACTCAGCGCGAGGATTAAAACCTATTCTGTGCCCATTGGCTGTGCCATTGCTTCCAGACCTCGCCCGCATCACCCAGCCCTGCGTGGGCACTTGGAGACTCTGGAATGCACATTAGTTGTCTGTGAGGGCAGATTTGTCCCATTGCCTCGCACCTTCCCATTCTGCCCCACCCCTGTCTCTGCCTCTCCCACGCTTCCCTAGCAGTAGCAGGGGGTCCAGACACTTACTGTCTCCTCATCCTAGCCTCCTTCTGTGCTGGCTCTTCAGTGTGTGGCCGAGGCTGGAAGAGATCCTACAGATTAGAGCTTGGGGAAGATAGGAGCAAACAGGAAGGTTCAAGGTTCCAGGACACAGTCAGCCCCCTCTGCTGCACCCGTGGGCCACCTTCTCATCAGGAAAGTTATTTGCTCAGGTTGACTGCCATCCTTACTACCTCTTCCTTCCTGCTTTACTTTTTATTCATGGTGGTAGTGGGGCTTGAACTCGGGGCCTGGGCACTGTCCCTGAGCTCTTTGGCTCAAGGCTAGCACTCTACCCCTTTGAGCCACAGCACCTCTTCTAGTTTTCTGGTGGTTAACTGGAGATAAGAGACTCACAGATTTTCCTGCCTGGGCTGGCTTTGAACCTCAATCCTCAGATCTCAGCCTCCTGAGTAGCTAGGATTACAGGCGTGAGCCACCAGCGCGCAGCTGCTTTATAGTTTTAACATTTTGCTATGCCTCGTCCAGCTCTCAAGAGGGTGAAGTGGGGGTGCTGTGCGGGGTGGGGGGGAGGTGTGCCTGGAGAGTGACTCCGTCTCTCACCTTTGACCTCCAGCCGGCAATCCACGGAGGCTTCCCCCAGCACGTTGATGGCTTTGCAGGTATAGACCCCGGAATCAAAGGGACTGGGTCTCCTGATCTCCAAGGTGCAGATGCCTTGGTCAGAGAGGGCACGGTACTTGGGGTCACCCTGGATGTTCATCTTATTTTTCATCCAGATGATCTTGGGCTGGAAGTGCGGTCAGAAGAGGTACAGTGAGTTGGGGCGGGGGTGGGGGAGGAAACGGGCTGTGCAGATGGGGACCTGGCTCCCACAGGCCATCCTCAGGTCTAGGGGGGATACTAGGGGGGTCTGTCTACTCTGCTGCCCCTGCTTCCCCTCCAGCCCAAGGCCCCTCACCTTGGGTGATGCTCGCACACTACAGAAGAGCTGAGTGCTGTATCCAGGCGTGGAGGTGTGGTCAGCCAGAGGCTGAGTGAACGAGGGGGCTTCTGAGAAGTCTCGTTCAACAAGCCCTTGAGGTTTGGCAGCACCATCTGGGTTCAGGGGGAAAGCTGAGTTTATAGGTAGAGGAAGACAGGCATGGTCAAGTTGTGGTTACTAAGAATGTCAAAAAAGTGGAAAGTGGGGTGGAGCAGGGGTGGGTGGGGCGGTGAGCAGAGAGCCAGGTGGGGGTGGCCGGTGGAGACCAGAGCAGCATCTGCGACGTTTGTCTCATCTGTTTGACTGGCATATTATTATTGTTTTTGAAAACAAAAATGTCTTCCTAATTCTGTGGCGTTAAAGAGCACAGCTTCCAGAAACCTCCGAGACCCTGGGAAGGGGAGGGCCCAGATCTGTTACAGGATAGTAGAGAGAAGACTTGGAACTTAACATTGATCTGCAAGGACTAGGCACCGGTGGGAGGCAGTAGTAAATACCGAATCTCTCCTCCCATAGATATGTGGTCTTGTCTTCTGCGCCGGGAGGTTAGTGCTCTTGCACACTAGCCAGTCTGACTATGGCAAACGCATTGCCCCTCGGGCTGGGTCTCTGGGGACACTGCACCTGAGAGTCAAGGATGGGGGTGATATTGCCTCCACGTGCATCTTTAGAATACACACACTGCCTCCCAGGGGCTGCTGCTCATCTGCATGGGTCTGTTAAACTCTATCAGCCACGTGCATTACTTTACACAGTGTGATTGTACGCATGCGTGCGCGTGCACACTACTGTGGCGTGGGAGGAGGGCAGCAAATGTTCCGGGCAAAGCCCCGAGCAGGGTCGTCCCACTGACGAAGATGTGGAGTCAAGGTGAGACTCAGCCAATACTCCATCCCTGGCCTGGTTTCCCAATGGAGCCCAGACCCACCTGCCTTCTGGATGTGAGCCAGTTCCTTGGTGGTGGTGGCCGAGTCACTGAGGCCGCACAGGTTTTCTGAGAAGACCCGGAAGGAGTAGGAGTTGCCCATGATGAGGTCAGAGATGGTGCAGCTGGTGGGGTGGTAGCGCTCCAGCACGGTGAACCATTGCTGTGGGGATCCTGGCCCATCACCCTCCACTCTCCTCCATCCTCACCCTCCCCGCTTCCCCCCAGGGGCTCCTGGTATGGCCTCATCCAACCCCAGCTAGGCTGGAACCATCCAAGCAAGGAGCTTGGAAGTGAGGAGGAGCTCCTGGGTCACTCAGGAGAGCTCTCTGGTCCTAAGGGTCCTAGAGCTTCAAGCTCCAAGTGCAGCTGGAAGATGTGTGCCCTCAGTGACACCCAGATGTGTGCCCTCAGTGACACCCAGATGTGTGCCCTCAGTGACACCCAGATGTGTGCCCTCAGTGACACCCAGATGTGTGACCTCAATACCACCCAGATGCCCCTTGGAAATGCAGGTGCTCAGCCGCCTGCAGAATGCTGAATAGGAGGCATGGCTCAAGTAAGCAGAGCACGCTTGACGACCTGAGTTTAAAACCCCAGAAACAGCGCCAGAGCTCAAAAGGTCTCCCTGCAGACTTCAGAGGGAAACTGAGGCATGAACAATCAAGAGTCTTGCCCAGGTCCACACAGTCCTGAGCTTGGTGGTGGGACAGGCCTTCGCAGCCTCTCCGGCCACTTCTTCCCAGCCCCCAGCCCGCCTCACCCCTGACTTCTTGTCCGCCTTCTGCACTGTGTAGCCCAGAAGCTCCGTGTTGCCTGTGTCCTGCGGAGGTGTCCACTCGAGGTTCGCGTTGCAGCCCCAGACATCTAGGACCTTGATGCTGCTGGGGGGTCCGGGCTTCTCTGCAGGACCAGAGTGGAGAGGGAGGCATGCGTGGAGCACAGTGCCCACACTAAGCTGACCCCTGCCATGCTCCCTCAGCCCCATCCCAATCCTGTCAGCTAGTTCCTGGTGAGGCAGCCATGTCTCCCCTGGGCCCCGTACCAATCACCAGGATGTCAATGGCCGCCTTGGCCTCCAGGCCTTCCAGCCGCACGGTGAGTTCGTAGCGACCAGAGTCGGAGCGCTGGGCAGAGCGGATGAAGAGGATGGAGTCCTGGTCCCCGCTGCGCACATTCACCCGCTGGCTGTCCAGAGCACTGCCGTTGTGGGTCCAGGAGGCCTGAGGCTTGGGTTTCCCCTGAGGGAGGGAGTGTTGGGGTGGGTACAGCAGCAGGTGCCAGCACCCCATTTCCTGCCCCCCAACACCCAGGGGTATCAGCTGGGCTGGAGCTACATGTGCTGCCCAGAGCCATGTCCTTCCGGGGCAACCTGCCTGTCCACAGCTTACAGCATGATGAAGGGGGTGTGGGGGGCGAGCCCATTTAAGTGGTCCCAGTCAGGGTCCCCGTGGCGATTTCTGGGGCTCTCCTGGCGCCCCTCTGACTGGCAGGGCTTGGTGTTCCACACGGGCAAGCCCACCTGGAAGGGGATTTGCAGATTGATTGCCTCTCCCACATGGCGGATGTAGGTCTGACGAAGGTGGCGGGGGACACGGATCTTGGGGTGTTCTGCATGAAAGAAAGCAAGAGCGGAGGCTTAGCACGGCGGTGGGACGGCGGGGTGGGGGCTTCTGAGGCAGGTGAGGGCTGCAGAGCCGGCAGGAGGGCCCCCGGGTGCACTGGGTCAGGCTCAGGCTCTCAGTGCTGTGATCGAGGGCCCCAAATCCTTTAAGGCCCCTGGGGAGCTGAGAGGCGAGAGGTTCCGGGGAGGTCAGGACCTCCGTGGTGTGAACCGGTAGGCATCTCGGGCACTCCCTTGGCACCTCAACCCTGCCAGGCTGGGATTTGTCCTGCAACCCAGGCATTCTCAAGCTCCAGATGGGCCTGCTGGCTCTCTGGCTCCCCCTGGAGGGAGGCAGGTGCTGCACCTGTCAGCCTGACAGAGCCCAGGGAAGCCATGAGGCTTCCAGCTTAATCCATCCCCCCTTCTCCCCCTCCCCCCAGCACAGGACTTTCAGAGAATCTCTGAAACCTGCTGGCCCACGCCTGCGTTGG